AGCGCAAGGAAAATTTGCGCGGGAAGCCAATGCCCAAGTTGGCAGCACCTAGCCCGATAGAGGCCCACAGAACGCTTCCCACTACAGATGACATAGAGAACCCCATCAAGCAAGCCTAATTGGGCAAGTATGTCCGGCCGTCCTGGGGTCTCTTCGGACCGTTTCTGGTGCCGTCTGGAGCGGGTCTGGATCCGTCTTGGGTCCATCATCGGCACTCTCTACACCTGTCTGCCACAAGCATCCGATTGCTGCGCATCGATTCAGGCTCGTCGGAATTGTCTTTACGAACGCTCGTTTTACAGCATGGCTAATCCAACAAAACGGTTGCCAAGACGAGACGACGCCCAGAATGAATCGGTGGACGGTGATTGTGCAGCGCCTTGAATTCGCCGACCCAACGGGCCAGGCGCGTGCTAATATCTCTGGTAACAGGTGACTTGAATATCTGGTTCGCGCGCGCGTGGCGGCCCCTGGGGGTCCTCGGACGAAAAATGCACCGGCAAGGTCCTGGCAAGGTCCTGGCAAGGTCCCAGCAAATCCAGATCACGGATGCCAGAACACCCGGGAGCGATTTTCGGGGGCCTCAAGATGGCCTCTGGAGCGCCCCAAAGAGACCACAGGAGCTCCAAGACGCCCAAGAGTCGGGATCAAGAGGTAGCAGGCCTCAAGATGGCCCGACAATAACCCTGAGACGCCTCAAGATAGCACCAAGATAGTCCCAGACAGGTCCTAGATAGAGGGCCTTCAGAGGCCTCACCACAGAGCCTCGAGAAGCAAACAATGGCCAATTCCCTCCGGATGACGCACATTTGCACATGTTCACCTGTTGCGTCCGAGACGACCCGAAAGGCACCCAAGACCGCCCCAAGGTGGCCCAGGAGGCTCCCAGAGAACCCCGAGAGGCTCCCAAGAAGCCCCCAAGAAGCCCCAAGAAGTCCCAAGAAGCCCCAAGAGGTCCCCAAAAGACCCCCAAGACGCCCCCAACTAGAGACGCTCCAGATACCCCCGGGATGGCCCGAAGACGCCCCCGAGAGGCCTCCCGGAGCCCCCACAAGGCCCCAAGAGGTCCCAAGGAGGCCCCGAGAGACTCCGAGAGGCCCCTAGAGGCTCCCGAGAGGCCCCAAGAGGCCCCGAGTGGCACCCAGCGTGCTCTCGCGGGATTCTTCGGGCGTCTTGGGACCCGCTGGAGCTGCGCACCAGGCAAGATGCGCAGCGGCAACGAACACGCTGGCAAACGCGCGCGATGGGACAGTCTGGGCCGGCGGAAAGAGCGAAGCGACTGAACGAGCAGGCAGACATTGCTGACCCCGATTCCGACTCCCAGGGGAAACGCTTCCGTGAAGCGGCGGTGGATTTTGGCACCCAGCTTCCACCTCTCAGATGCAACTGCCCATCTCTCAGGGGTCGTCGCCATCTTGTCCACCTGTTGCAGCAGAGCGAACAAGAGAACTCCGACAAGGGCCACCAATATCACGACGCCGGGCGGCTGACTCGCGCTATAGTAGTCGACCACCCCCTTCAGCTCCCAGGCCATCATCTGGAGCGCAGTTTGGTCAACAAATTCGAGTACATCACCGAAGAAGCTGACATCAAAAACGCTGAGAGGGAAGAAGAGCTTATCTTCAACAATGAGCACTCGTTGCTCATACTCGGAGTTCGATTCTGGTGCGCTTCGTCTCCTCGCCGTTCTTGCCGATATACAGTACATGTGAAAGAACCAAGCGAGAAGCCCGAAGATTGTCGCCATTCGTAAGAACTCGGGAAGACCATGCCCAGTTTGCTCAGTCTCTTTCTGGATGCCTTTTTCCGAAGCTTCCATGAAGTCTTTCCAATTCCAACCCAGGACCAGCGGAGCGGCCGCGAGACATAGTTTGCCGAATTTGGCTGCAAACTTGTTGTGCCTCTCATTGTAGTCGTCCTGGATTGCATCACACGCGTTGACCAGGACGTAAAAACCGGCAGAGGCCGCCACCGCGCACCCCAGATTGTTCTGGTACCCGCAATTGGCGACCCTTTTCTCATCGCAGCCGAGAAGAAAACGATGGATCACCTGGTTCAGGTAAAGATAAGTGGACCAGGCAAACGTCAGGTTGCTTGCGACTACGTCGACCGTAGGCGGCGCCTTCTTGACTTTCGAACCGAAAGCCGAGAGAACCATGACCCGCGCCGCCATGCACAGGACGACAGCAAAACACACCTGGAGCAACAGCGAACCCTCGATCCCAGGGATCTTTTTCATCTTCGTCGCCAGGGTGGCACCCATCATCACGCCGACCGACTTCCGCACGAGAACGGACGTGGGGTCTACAAGCTTCCGGCGCGCAGAGAGCATGAACTTCATCTGCGTCCAGCCGCTCCCCTCGCGGAGACCAGACATATCCCCCATCGGAAGACGTTGGGCGGTCTGCCAGGATTGGTTTACCCTCAACTGATTTGTCGTCGATTCGATTGAAAACATTGGAGGCCTGGAAATGGGCACCAACACCAAGACAGGGGGCTGCCTCCACAAGGGGGAAGATGATCCTAGACTTCGGTGTCGGTGGTAACATTTCGGCCACCTTGGCAGCCAGAATAGGACCACCACCACCGAGACCCGGATCGTCTTTCCCTCGGTGGAGGCACACCGCCGAATCTGGCGTTGGTGTCAACCTCTGGGCCTGCGAAAATAAACTCTCGAGCGAGTCGACTCTGCATTCCCCCGCAGCTGCGCGGTGCTTGGTGCTCCGGATCCCGCCGCTGCGGCATGAACTGGAGATGGTGTAAAAAAACGATTTGGCATTTCCGCCCTGGGTCCTCCGACGCACCCCTGTCGTACTAACCCCGCCCCCTCGCGTAGGCACACGGCACACCCGCAGCTCCTCCCCGCGGAGGGCTGCAGGCTGCAGGTGGCCGCGCGCGTGCTCCACCGTGGCCTCCCGCCGTCGACCGCCGGCCTCCCGGGGCGGCCTCCGGCGGCCCCGGGGCGCCCCCCAGCGCGAGGAAGCGGGGCTCGGGTCGGGCATGGCCCGCTACAGTTATGCTGCTGCCATCGTACTGGAGGACCACATCCCGGGGAATAACTTCGAGCGCCCAGAGAAGCGTCGAGAGGGTGTCGAGATGTCCCGCTACAGTTTTGCTGCTGCTGCCATCGTGCTGGAGGACCACATCCCGGGGAATAACTTCGAGCGCCCAGAGAAGCGTCGAGAGGGTGTCGAGATGTCCCGCTACAGTTATGCTGCTGCTGCCATCGTACTGGAGGAGCACATCCCGGAAATAACTTCGAGCGCCCAGAAAAGCGTCGAAAGGGTGTCGAAATGGTGTCGAAGCAGTGTCGGGCGAGTGCCTCCCAGGGCCCGACGCGCGAAAACCCTCGAGTTTTTGGGTACTTTTCTGGCGCTCGAAATTCTTGCTGGTGGTCAAGGCTACAATAGGTTGGAACATCATAACCCTACAGGCGGATTTTGGACGAAAAATGAAAAATAGTCGGAAAAGTACTGCAAAAAAATTGTCGAAATAATCCAAAACATTGCCCCCCGACCATGTTCTAACCATCTTTTAATATTCCTCCTGCAGAGGGACAGGCCCGACTGAAAGCTGGACGGCCGCGTGCCACGAAGGGGGTGGGGCCCACGGTCGAACCCTGAGACGGAGCCGGGACCAGGGCAGGAGGCAAAATCGGGCCGGGGCAAATCGGTGATCTCTGAGATCCGTCGGCTCTCGAGAATGTAGCGGGCGCAGCGGGCCTTCCGGAGCGATCTGGAACGCTCGGAGCTCATTCTGGAACACTCTGGTACGATTAACCTATACGCCTCCCAAAGTGGGGTCCGAACAGGTGGGGTCAGAGGATCGCGCCGCATCTCAGATGATGCGGCTCGATGTGGAGCCAGAATTTCTCCACGCCGACGGCGCCGTCGCCCGCATCGCCGACGCGGCGCGACCCTCCGAGCCCATCTACTCGAACCCCACGTGGGAGGCTTGGCGGCGCGCACAAGGGGGTGGGTGGAGGAGGGGGGGGTTCTCAGAAGCACCCCTGCTTGGAGGGCGGCGGCCTTGCATCTGCAGATAAGGCCCGCGCCTTCTGATAAGCAGGGGGTGCTCCTAAGAGGCCCTCCCCCCTCCCCCCACCCCCCTCTGCGCGTGGCTGACCTGCGGGAGGCCTCCGAGACCCCGGTGCTGGCCCCGCCCGAAACACTCCCGGGGAAGGTATCCCCGCTCGCGACCTCGCCATCGCCGCCCCCCATCGCACGCGCGGGCGCCACGGGCGAGGGCGGGGGCCGCGCCGGGTTCCTCCGCGGGCAGCTGCGCTCCGAGGCGGGCGGGGAGGGCGGGCTGCCTCCCTCCAGAGATCCGGGGCGTTGAGCTCGTGTTCCTGCTCGTTAACATTTGTCACGTGTGCGGAGCTGCACTGTCAATGCCGCGCTTTCCTGTGGTTTTGCCGTGTTCCTGCTCGCAACGCACACCGCCAAGGGGCGGCGGAGAGCTCGAGAGATCCACCTACCAGAAGGGCTGCCTCCCTCCAGAGATCCAAGGCATTGAGAAAAGCCAGACGGCGGTTGCTCGCTATCTTAGGCCTCTTTGGGCCCTCGCCAGGCCCCAGGCCCGTCAAAAAACGGCTCGAGATGAAAAGACAGCCTTGGGGAAAGGGTCGAGGCTTCGGGGGAGTACAACACAATAATAATAAAAATAATAATTATTATTATTACTATTATAATACTACTAATAATACTACTAATAATAATGATAATAATAATAATAATAATAATAATAATAATAATAATAATAATCATAATGTGTATACACCCCCAACCAAACAAAACATAAAACATCAACAACAACAATTACAACAACAACAACAGCAACAACAACAACAACAACAACAACAGCAGCAGCAGCAGCAGCAGCAACAACAACAACAACCACAACAACAACAACAACAACAACAACAACAACAACAACAGCAGCAACAACAACAACAACAACAATAACAACAACAATAATAAAACAATACAAAACAACAACGACAACAACAACGACAACAACAGCGACAACAACAACAGCAACAACAACAGCAACAACAACAGCAGCAACAACAACAACAACCACAACAACAACACCAACAACAATTACAACAACAACAACAACAACAACCACAACCACAACCACAACCACAACCACAACAACAACAAGAACCACAACCACGACGACGACGACGACGACGACGACGACGACGACGACGACGACGACGACAACAACAACAACAACAACAACAACAGCAACAACTACGACAACAACAACAACAAGAATAAAACAATCCAAAACAACAACGACAACAACAACGACAACAACAGCGACAACAACAACAGCAACAACAACAGCAACAACAACAGCAGCAACAACAACAACCACAACAACAACAACACCAACAACAATTACAACAGCAACAACAACAACAACAACAACCACAACCACAACCACAACCACAACCACAACAACAACAAGAACCACAACCACGACGACGACGACGACGACGACGACGACGACGACAACAACAACAACAACAACAACAACAACAACAACAACAACAACAACAACAACAACAACGACAACAACAACAACGACAACAACAACAACAACAACAACAACAACAACCACCACCACGACGACGACGACGACGACGACGACGACGACGACGACGACGACGACGACAACAACAACAACAACAATTACAACAACAACAACAACAACAACAACACACAACAACGACAACAACAACAACAACAACAACAACAACAACAATCATTTAAGACTGGGGACACTCCGTTCTCACCAGTGCCAGGGTTTTCATAGGAGGCGGGCAATACCCCCACTTTGTGGGGGGGCCGGTTCAAGCTCTACCAAATTTCCAAACGACTCTTCGCCACCACCCACACCCAGCTTCCCGCCCTATGACGTTCGGACACTTCACTTCGTGGCATGCGGACGACCGTGGCTACTATTCAGGGCCCCGCGGCCGACGACGACGGCGTGCGCGCGCGAAGAAAAAACGAATGTGTCCAATATGGTATTATTTGACAGGGATGATGGCCCTGACATGCGCGCAACCGTGGTTGCAGAAGTTCGAAGCACGTGAAAAAGTTGCTCGCAAGAGCCACAACAACAACAACAACAGCAACAACAACAACAACAGCAATGAAAAATACGCACCATCGGATCTCTGGGCTCCTCTTGGATGCTCGTTCCGGGGGCCTTCCTGGAGCCACTCGCTCCGCCCACGCGTCCATAACGCCTAAAAAAACATCCCTCCCTAAGATCCAACGCCGTGGAAGAAGTACAACCTCGCGAAAAGCAAACGCACCATCGGATCTCCGGGCTCCTCTCGGATGCTCGTTCCCGGGGGCCTTCCCGGAGCCGCTCGCCCCGCCCCCGCTGCGCCGAGGGCGCCCGGAAGAGCATCCCTCCCCGAGAGGTCCGACGCCGAGGCAGCGTTGCAGCCTCGCGGAAGGTCAGGACTGGGGCCCCCCTCCTCCTCCTCCTCCTCCTTCTGTAATTTCTCCTGCTCCTCCTCCTCCTCCTCCTCCTCCTCCTCCTCCTCCTCCTCCCCCTCCTCCTCCCCCTCCTCCTCCTCCTCCTCCTCCTCCTCCGCCCCCTCCTCCTCCGCACCCTCCTCGAGCATCGCTTCACCGACCCCCCTCCCCAACGGCGCGGCCTCGGGCCCCCCTGGCCGATGCGCCCCCCTGGATCTACTAGCCTGGAACATGTCCCTATCCCTATGCTGGGCACCTCCTCGTCACGATGCCAACCTTAGGGATCCCCTTGTGTTTTGAGGGCGAACCCCTGAGATTGTCATCGCCTCTTGGCGTGTCAATCTTAGGGATAGGGATACGTTCGAGGCTGGTAATAGATGGGGACACAGGTCGTTCTCTTCGGGCTTCGAGGGGTGCATCCCCGGTGCGAAAGCGTGGCTCGGCGCCCAGAGCTTCAGGGTCGAGCTCGGGTCGAGCTGGAGCCGAGCCAGAGGCCGAGTCAATCCGTCGGGAGGGCCCCGGGAGGGTCCCGGAGGCGAACACCTGAGCTGGACGCCTCCTCTTGCCGTCGCTCGGACGTCCATTTCCCGTGCATGCTTCGGTTTCGTGCGTGCTTTTTTTTGCTCGATGGTCCAGGATGGCCCTCGATGGCTCTCGCCGAGAAAAAATGCACACGTCCGAGCGATGCCAAGTCCTAGCTGGGAGGCCCAGACAAGCGGAGGGAAGTCCCCCACCCCCGCCCCCTCGGAGCGCGGCCCGGGGCCCCCGCTCGGCGGGCTGCGGCTCGGCGCCGCGGGGCCGGCCCAGCCAAAGCGGGCTCGGGCCCGCGGCCGCAGCCGTCGTCGAGGTCGTCGTCGTTGCCGGCGGCGGCGCCCCGCCCCGATCCCGGGGCGTCGGCGGGCGCTTCTTGCTGGACGAGGACCCGCATCATCATCAACATCATCATCATCATCATCATCATCATCATCATCATCATCATCATCATCATCATCCTCATCATCATGTGCATGTGCGTGCGCGACACCGATGAGCTGTCATGTGCAGGTGCGTGTGCGTGCGCGACGCCGACCCACCTGCGGCCCCACGGGGCCGAGCGCACACCAGGGAGGTCTGGCGTGGGCTGCTGCGCGGCAGGCGCTGCGGCCCCCGAAGGGGCCGCAGCGCAGCACATGGAAGCCGGGCGGGGCTGGGACGAGGAGGAGTCCGTTCTGGAGCGTTCCAGAACGCTGCCAGAGCCTTCCAGGACGCTCTGAGAGGGCCGCGGCGCCCGAGGCATCCTCCGGAGCCGCTGGACCTCAGAGATGCTCGGTGTGTCCCTCGTCCTGGCTTCGTCTCAGGAGGGCCGTAATTGGGTGTGGTGGTGTCGTTTGTTTTTTGGTCGATCTGCTTGCTGCCGTCCGACCTCGGCCTACAGGGAAGGGGGGGGGGCGTGTTGGGCACCGCGGGGCAGCGGAGACTGTGGAGGCAGCTCCTGGAGGGTCCTCGCAGGCACGGTGAAGGCCTATTGAGCCCCTGGGGGGGAGGCCACTCAGCCAGACTGCAGTCCACCCGTATGACAAGGATGCGCGGCAAGGCTGCAAGGGCCTTGGGGGGCCATGTTGACGTTTTTCCAAGCGAGGTTGGCCAGCAAACATCGCTGAGGATGGGCCGAAGGGGGAGGATGCAAGGGTAGCCTTGGAAAGTCGCTCGTCCTTACTATGCGGGTTGACTGTAGCCCAGATCACACCCAGGATTAAGCCAGACTAGGCCGGCTCGAGCGGGATTAAGATGACTTAGACGGGATTATGCCAGATAAGGCCACTTTTCGACCATGGATATACCAACGGCGATGCTGAATCTAGGGCATGCCGGAGGACTGGGCACTTCTCGCCGTCCCCTCTCCCCCCCTGGACCCGAAGGCCCCAGGGGAGCAAGAAGACGACTCCTATTTGCAAAAGAGCAGCTGTACCCGCTCCATGGGAGGAGGCGCTAACTGGGCCACCCCTCCTTTTCAGCCGCTGGACCCAGCACGACTCCAGGCCGAGCGGGCCCCAGAGGATCCCAAAACGGTCTCTCCTCATGCTCGAGGCTCGCCTCCCCGCACAACCTTCTCCCTGGAAGCGCCTCCTCGCAGCTGAGCAGTCTGACGGCTCTGTCCCTCCACCCGGGTTCACGCTCGACGGTCATAAGCCCAGTGTGCACCAACGGCCTGAGGGCCTCGGGAGGCCACACGAAAGGCCAAGCACGCAGAGAGTCGTGGATGAGGTCCAGCGAGCTGGGCCAGGGGTACCCTGAGATCCGACGCTGCGGAAAAAACACCACATGGCGAAAAATCTGCCGACCCCCACTTGCCGGGGGCGACAAGGCGTGAGAGACGTTGGGCTGCCGACGCCCTCCACCATTTCCCTCTCCCCTGGGGTCCAGGATGCTGTGTACGGGGGGGGGCAGAGCCTGTCAACGCACCCCCGGGGTCTCCGGAGCTTCCAAAAAGCCCCAAGACGGCCCACCCAGACAGAGCACTAAGACAGTCCAAGATGGCCCAGGGTAGCCCCACGACGATCCAAGATGGCTTCAAGACGGCCATCGAGGCCCCCTAGATGTCCCAAGAGTGCTCCCAGAGGACCGCAGAAAGGGCCCCAAGAAGCAAAAATCGCGCCATTCCCTGCGGAAACCGTTACATGTTATCACACTCGTCCCTTTCGTCTTGACAGCGTCTACGATGGCCCCAGGGGCCCCCAAGATCGTCCCAAGACGGCCCATCAGCCCCCCAATAGGATCCTAAGACGGCAAAAAAAGGCCAAGACGGCCCCAGGGGCCAACAACACGGGCCCGAGAGAGCCCCACGAGTGCCCCAAGAGAGCCCAAGAGGAATACGAACTAAAATTTCGAGCCTTTCCCGCCAAGATAGCCCCGAGAGCTCCCGGAAGGCCCCCCAGCCAAGAGGTCCCAAGAGGCCTCCCAGACGCCCCCCAAGAAGCCCCCAAAAGGCCCCGAAGTCCCCCGGACGCCCTCGAGATCCCTCCAAGAAGCCCGTGACTGTCCCTCACCCCCTCACCCCGACCCTACGGACCCGCAATCCAGTTCAACAAGAGGGGGCCATGCCCCAACACTGCACACGAAACCCCCGACGTCCCGCCAAGAAGACAGCCACAGCCTCGCCGAAAGCGCCAAAATGCCCACAACAGTCTTCGAAAGGCTCCACCCAAGAGGCCCCCAAGAAGCAGCGCGACATACGCCAAGCAACTTGATCAATGCCTCGTCGTCACCATCCTCTTCCTCCTCCTCCTTCTCCACCTCCTCCCCCTCCTCCTCCTCCTCCTCCTCCTCCTCCTCCTCCTCCACCTCCTCCTCTTCCTCCACCTCCTCCCCCTCCTCCTCCTCCTCCTCCTCCTCCTCCTCCTCCTCCTCCTCCTCCTCCTCCTCCTCCTCCTCTTCCTCCTCCTCCTCCTCCTCCTCCTCCTCCTCCTCCTCCTCCTCCTCCTCCTCCTCCTCCTCCTCCTCCTTTCTTTTGACGCCATCCTCTTCTGGGGGTCGGCGGAATGGCGTGAGCCACTTGAACCACGATCGGAGACTCAGACCCCATCTTCTGCGGTTCCCGAAACTGGGCGAAATCGCCCGGGGTGAAAAACTGGCCAACGCAAGGATCTCGCAGGAAGAAGATTGAGCAGGGACCGACCGTCCCGGCATTCCAATAGGCCTACCACGACATGTTCTTGAACCCAAGATTGTTTTGAGAACAAAGAACAATGTTCTCAGAACATAAAGCCGATGTGTTAAGACAAGACAGACCCAGCCAGAAATGCTCTAAGAACATCTCGTGCAGACCACAAGAAGTTCTTCGACCATTATTCGGCGGGCCTCTAGGCGAGCCGGGACGCTTCGCCACTGCTTGATTCGGCGGCGAGCGAGGGGGGGAAGTGAGAAGTGGCGGGCCTTCTCAGAAGGCTCATAAGTCCCTGGGGCTTCTGAGAAGTTTCCTGAGCCTTCTCCGAAGCAAGAAAAAACTTCTCAGAAGGCGCGAGGGCGTCTCAGAAGTCCCGCCGTCTTCTGAGGAGGCCTTCTCCTTCTCTTTCCCCCCCCTCGCTCGCCACCGATTGATAAGGAGGGCGAAGCCCGGGCCCAGACCTCCGAAGAGGAGGGCCGGCTGAGTCAGCGGTGTGGCCTCTCCCGCCAGGCCCGAGTCGGCCCCAGGGGCCCACTCCTGGGGCCTGTACCGCCAGGCTCGCGTCGTGTGGGCACCGGCGTTGGCTTCCTTTTTCTTGAATTTTTTTTGCTTCCCCCCCTAAACTCCAGCTGACCGGTGGTAGCGAGGAGAAGATGACAATCGACGTAAACCCCGGCGTTGGCTTCTGACACCGCGCGGATCGTTCCACCTTGAACGTTGGCCCTTTCCAATATCAAGGGGCCCAAGGACACACAAATAAATACACACAAATAAGAGGATTCCCCATACTTTCCCATATTTTCTGGCTTGTTGTCTTCCCCCCCACTTCCCATATTTCCCCATATGTTCCTGGGGATCGACGATGAATTGTGTCTGTGTGTGTCTTTCCCTCCTGACAATAGGCCGGATCGTTCCAGGATGGGCCGACTATTCGGGGCCACGGGCGGCGCTCGACCTCAGACGTCCGCGCGGGGGTCGCCGCCGGTCGACACGACGCGAGGCTGCCGCATCCTGGCCCCAGTGGCGACGTTCGCAGGCGGCTCCCGCGCACGTCTGCGCACCCCTTGCACGCTTCGTGGCCCCAGAGGGAGCTCCACCCAAGGCCCCCGCGGGTGCGGCCACGTGCGGTGCCCCTCCCAACTTCGGCACGGCCCCCTCTCGTGTCTCGTGGCCCCCGGAGGGGGCACCACCGAAGACGAGTTGCTCACAGCCGCGGCACGCACACTTGCAGATGGCTGGATCCTTCGCCAAGATCATTCCAACACGGGGTCCCTGGAAGTCTCGACCATCCCAGGGACTGGACTTCCATCCTGCTGCGCGTTTCGTCGACGGTCCGGGGCGCGGCGGGGGCCTCTCTCGAGGCCGAAACCAGCGAAACTGAACTCCGTCTCGATGGTTTCAAAGCGTTGGATCTGGAGACTGGCCCTCTGCGCATCGCTCAACCGACCCCTATCCGCTCGGGCGTGGCCTGGGCCCCGCTGGCCACTTACCCCCCCTGGATGAGGATACAGGCTGTCTCCTTCGGGGCTCGAGGGGTATATCCCCAACTGGGGTGCCGAGATGGTGGGGGTCTGGAAACCCGTCGGTCGGAAGAGGTGGGTAGAAACACGAAGTAGGAACGGGGGTGCAAGTAGACTAGCCATCCGCCCGCCCCCGGAAGAGGGGGGAAAAGGGAGAACCGCTCGACTCTTGAGGTAGGAGGGCGCTTGAAGCAAATTGCGATCTGGATGTCCAGAAATGCCTGCTTCCAACGACCGGCCTGGAGGATGGGGATTCCTCCTCCTCCTCCTCCTCCTCCTCCTCCTCCTCCTCCTCCTCCTCCTCCTCCTCCTCCTCCTCCTCCTCCTCCTCCTCCTCGCCACCACCCCCTCCCCCCCTTGGTCACGTTACGATTCGCGACAACGCCGTCCAGGAATTGGCCATTCCAGAGCACTCCCTGACGGCGCCGGCGGGAGTCGTGGCCCCCATCCCCCTTTTCGGGAGCGGCCAAGAGGGGCGTGTCCAAGAGGGGGGGGTGCAAATCATGACCGGCGGCATGTGCGCGGCCCAGCGGGGGGGCCAGGGACGTAATGAAATAAGAAGAGGCGCCATGAAATCTGGGGAAATATCATGGCCCACGCCATGATATCCACCCCCCCTAGTCATCACCCCCCTCTTTTCCGCCCCCGACCATCCCCCTTTCCCCCCCGCCCAGTCACGCCCGGGCCTCCCCTCTGGGGGGTGTTTTCTGCGGGTGCGGCCCTCTGTTTTGGTGTGGTCGAGTGTGGCCATGGACGGAGACCGCGCCACGCGCACGGCCAGCAGGGCGTCCCCGCGACGGGTGGCAGATGTGTACCGACGATAGCACGACCAGAGCCGGGGAGGTCATCGACGGATCGGCGGCGAGCGGAGGGGGGAAATGAGAAGGGGAAGGCCTTCTCAGAGGGCAGTGGGACTTCTCAGAAACTCTCGCGCTTTCTGAGAGAAGCTTTTGTCCGTCTTCGGGGAAGGCTCCAAAAACTTCTCAGAAGGCCGGGGGACTTCCAGACCTGCTGAGAAGGCCTTCTCCTTCTCGCGTCCCCCCCTCGCTCGCCGCCGAACAGACTTCTGCCGACCGGTTCGGAGCACAGGGCAGCGGCAGTGGCAGCCCGAGCGGGAGCGAGCCGAGGAGGCTGCCCTCGGAGGAGAGCCAGGGGCGCGGTGACGACCAGCAGGGTGTCCCCGCGACGGGTGGCAGATGCGCACCGACGATTCTCACGACCAGAGCCGGGGGAGGTCCTCGACGGAGCTCTGCCAGACCAGCTCGGAGCACAGGGCGGCGGCAGCGGCAGCCCGAGCGAGGGCGGGCCGAGGAGGCTGCCCATCGGAGGGGAGAGCCGGAGGGGCGCGGTGCCTCCCCGCACCGCGGCCGCGGGGCCGCCGCGTGTCACGCTCGGAGAGGGGCGTGGGCGGCCTCCTGGCCATGCGGCTGGCGTCAGGTCGGCCATGTCCCCCAACAGGCCGATGTTGGACGAGATCTAAAAAATACTTACACAATATTCCAAAAGTATTCAAAAATAATGAGAACAAAAAAACATCCCCTGACGACTTTTGACTATCTTTAGATATTCCCCCTGTAGAGGGACAGGCCCGACTTACGGCTGGCGTCCACGAGCGGGCTCGGCAAGCGGTGGAGTCGCCCAGGGGTATCCCGAAGGTAGGAGATGGGTATGGAATAAAGGGGTGTGGCGCTAATTTTTACGTAAAGGGGACTCTGGCGATGTTACTTATCGCAGATGCAATCGCCATTTCCACGATTGGCACCGTACCCCCTTATGCCACACCCATTTCCGACCTCCGGAAGACGGGATCTCCCGAAGCTCCGTCCAGAGAACAGCTGGTCGTCACGGGCCCAGGGGCGGGGGCGACGACGGTGCTCGAATCGTCCAGGACCGCTCGCGCAGTCCAGGACAGCCTCTCGTGGATCGCCCAGGTGGGGTTCCACCAGGGGGGGGTCAGCCCTTGGTGTTTTTTGTCAGCGCAATCGCCTGAAGGTTCGCTCGCGCAGCCATTCTTGAAAGGTAGTCCCGCGGTCCCTGTCGAAAGCGAGCATCTTGCTATACAATCAGATCAGTATCGGTCGGCCCTTTGCGTCCAATGGCGGGCAGCAGAAGGGCCAGAGCAGCGGTTGCAGCGAGGGCTGAAAATGGGGCGGACTGCAACCGCCGCGGCGCAGGAGGATCCCAAGGAGGCGGACAAGCAACACTGGGACGAGTCCAGCAGCACTGGCAAGGCATGCTACGCTGTCATTCTGGTCCAGCCTTGCAGGGAGTCCCTGCGTGCCCTCGAGTGTACCTGCGGGAACATTGTTTGCAGCTCCGCCGGGCACCACCATCGGGAATGACAGGCAGACAGTCGGATGATGTAGGGGACCATCTACCCATCACGCCAGTCCGTCGGTCCAAAAGGGCACGATACGGAATCACGTACGTGAGAGGAGGGCGTACGGTACGCAATAGCAGCCCCTCATCCTCCTACTGCCAATCATGATCCTCCTGCTCACACCAGGTCTTGACTGCCCGTCGGTCGCAAGAAGTGGGTAGAAACCTGAAGTAGGAAGGCGTTGGAAGAAGATCGGGCGGCCTCGGCCCGCCCCCAGAAGAAGAGGGGAGGGAAAACCGCTCGAATCCTGAAGCAGGAAGGCGCCTAAAATAGACTGTGGTTCGGGTATCCAGCAATACCTGCTTCCAACGACCAGCGTGTACGCCTCGCATCCTGCCGCAGAGGAGCCCGATCTGGCCTTCAGGTCCGCGAAGAAGCCCCCCACTTTCTCGGGGTCCGTCCGGTTCTTCGGATCCTTGAAGAGGTCGGTCCAGGGCTGAGGGCGCTCGTTATTAGTGGGTCGTGCGCTCTGGCCGAGGCCTTCGGTGTCTGCTTCCAAGCCTACGCCTGTTTTAAGGCGGAAGGGTCCATCGGGCGATGAAATTGGTGATCGCCTGGCACGGGGCAGGCCGTTGCGCTATCATCGCTCAATCAGCGCGCATGCTCTGCCACTGGCACGCGGTGTCCACTCCCCCATCCCCCTCCTCCCCCTCGCCGCCCCCCTCCACCCTCCACTCTTCTTCCTCCTCCTCCTCCTCCATCTCCTCCTCCTCCTCCTCCTCCTCCTCCTCCTCCTCCTCCTCCTCCTCCTCCTCCTCCTCCTCCTCCTCCTCCTCCGCCTCCTCCTCCTCCTCCCCTCCTCCTCCTCCTCCTCCTCTCCTCCTCCTACTGCCTCCTTTTCCTCCTCCTCCTCCTCCTCCTCCTCCTCCTCCTCCTCCTCCTCGTCCTCCTCCCCCTCACCCTTTCCCGATGCTTGGTGAATACACCCGTGCAGAACAAGTCAAAACTGCTCAA